AATTCCAAGGGCTTTAGAAGGTCTGGGTCAGGAACCAGGGACAAAGACCAAATACACTTTGGTATCATACCGCCCACGCTTCATTTACATATGTCAACAGAAGAAATGTCCAGACCTGTAAAGAATTTTTATGAGTTTATTTGAGCCAAACTGACAACAATTGCCAGGAAGAAAAATCTCAGAGGATTGAGAAAATGCTCGGGAGAATTGCAGCTTATTTTATGCACTAGGATAAAAGGACATATGAGGAGTTTACATGAAATCCACTGGTGGTACATTAGGGAGGCAAGAGAAAGCAGAGAAATTTCTGAGACTGGATAAAAAAGCAAAATGGAGAGACACACACTTCCTTTACCTTGGTGGGTATAGGATAGTTAGTGCTTACCATTCACAGCACAGAGATGGTATCCGGGGAACAAGATAATGAGGGGTTCTGTGGTCTTGTGCTCTGCTGGACAAGATTACTCTGTCATTTCAAAGTTATGTTACATGTAAAAAGACAAGAGACAGGCTCCTTTAAGGTAAAGATTGACTTTTGTGAAGAAGCTACAGGCCTAGCACCACTACCTGCCATGACTCACTTTTAGTTCGGAAGTTTTATGTTCAGACCCTCCTACGCGTTCACTCGCCATCTCTGAGTTTGTCAGGCCCGCCAGGCAGCCCTCCCCTGAGCTTGTCAGGTTTGGTGTGTGGCCCCATTTTCATCCACACATGTAACAGATATCAACATCACAACTACCTGAAGCAAATAATGATTTCATTTCCCATTTCACAGATGAGAAAACTGAGGCCTAGGTAAATTAAGTGACTTGGCCCAAGTCACACAATTAGTAAAATGGGGAGACAGGGTTTGACTTCAATCTCAGAGTTCATGCTCTTAGCCACGGTGCTCATAGTGAGGAAATACTCCCTTATCTGCGAGAATATGAGTAGATTTCACTCAAAGAATGAGTCATATTTTAACGCAGAGATTATAACCCTGAGATTGTCTAAATTGTATATAGGCACCTGGTACGTGGTGAAACCCATGAACTGAAGGGAAGCCCTTGCAGCCCCAAATGTTCACCTAGATAGGAATGAATTCTCATTCATTCCTTCTGGTTGAGACACAAATATCCGTCATGGACACTCTGTGAAAGTTCCAACAGGACAGACAGCTCAGCACAGTCCCCACAGGGAGGTACAAGACAGGCAGAAGCGGGACAGAGTGCTGAGAAGGTTGTCCAGCAGAGCCACGGGAGTGGGGGGAGGTGTCAGAATGGGGAGGGAGGGTGTCCCAGGCTCGGTGCCATCCCGGTCTCTGTAAGCTAATGGAGCCCTAGAGAAACGTCCCATTTGTGATATCGATTCAATTATGGGCTATGATCTTACCCACTGCTGTCCTGGGTCTGGGTTAGAACCTTGCCTCTGAAAGGCAGCAAGGCACAGAGAGAGTTAGAAAACCTGAGAAATAAAGGCGAACCTCCAGGGTGGGGCCTCCACATCAGGGCCCGGGGCTAGGACGCCTTCTGACTCTCTACATGTTTGTAGCCTCCCCACAGTCTTCATCCGCCCCTCACTTTCTTCTAGATGAACGGTGACACCTCTTTGAAAAGTTTCTGTCTTCCTTGACTCCGTTGAAAAAACAGGGAGGTGGATCCTGGTTCTACTAACAGCTCTGGTTTGGGAGTGGACATCTTAAATGTTCAACTCAGAGAAGGACCAGGGAATCAAAATAAGGAAACCTCAAAGGAAGTGAAACTCATGGGAGAATATCTGAGGGTCCCCCCGCCCCCCAGATAGAGCATGGCAGTTAAAAATTTGGAGTCCAGAATACCTGGTCCACATCCTGGTTCTATTACTTATTCACTGTAAATCCTTGGGCAAGTTACTGTTAAGGAACCCTCTTCTACTTTCAGTTCCCTGTCTGTTAAAACAGCCGCCTTCACCCTGTTTTGAGGACTCACTGAGCTAATTCCTACAAAATGCAGTCAACAAGTGCTGGGCACAGGATAAGCACTCAGCCATGTTACCCTCGTTGGGTGCAGGTCCTTGGTAGCCCCGGCCTGCTCCAGTCTTGGCGAGAGGGGGCAGTGACCGGTCCCCATTTCTGCTCTCAGCTGCTCCTAACAAAGGGCCTGGTCTATCATGGGGGAAAGGCCCCAGGTTCTCCTGGCCAAGGGGGAGTGGGTCAGCTCTGAGGCTGGGGACAAGAGAGAGGCTGGCTAGCTAGCTGTCAAAGGCAAGCTATTTTTTTTAGACAGGCATAGCAGAGGTGAGCCCCCAGACCCGTAAGGATAATTATGGTCTAGAAGAGTCCTGTGGGTTACACTTCTGCCCCGGATTGGACTGAAATTTGTGGTAAGCCACACCCCCTTGCTCGGTCAGGGTTCCTTCAGCCTCGTCCCTATCATGAAGGTACCTTACCCCCACTCCATTCAAATGCTTATCACACACCCGGAATTTTGAGCGAACTCCCTAGCTCGATTTCCTGAGGTTGGGAACGACGTTGGAGCCATCCTTCTATCTGAAACAAACCTCAAGACGAGAAGATTTTCCTGAAGGCCACTCATTCACTCCACCCTGCGTCTCTGAGGACAAACAACCAGGAGCTCCTATCAGAAAAGTTTTGAGTGACTGGGAGAAAGAAAGAACTTAAAAAGGAATTAGAAGGTAAGTTCTCACCCCTGGCTCCTTATGGCTCAGTGAGTGATCCAGTTTCCTCATCCACATTTGTAAAACGGGAAAATAACCCCAGCCCCATTCGCCTTCCTGGGTGGGTAACAGAAGCCAAAAATGGTGACCAACCCACAAGACAGCTGCTTTGTAAGTGTCTTCAACAAGCAGCTCGTTCTCACCTGCGGGGAAGCATCCCCTTATTAAATGTCATTTGGCCTCTACTCAGCCTCAGAGAATGCGTGTTACAGTGGAATTCCTTTCCAGACTTTGAGTTTCTTCATTTAGCAAAAAGAAATGACAGAAAAGCTGTGTGACCCAGGCCAGGGGCCCCCTCTCCTCTTCTCTGAGAGGGTTTCCTCTCCCGGGCGAAGGACGGTTGAATGACAGACCCTGCCTCTGGGCAGTGGCTCTGCGACACACTCAGCTCCCTTGACCCTTCCTGAGGAATGCAGCCTCAGCCAGCCTGCCGCCCGCCGAGGGCTCCTGCTGGGGGAGTCCATTGCCCTCTCTCTTCCTCCATTTGCAATCACTATTTATTTATATTTGGAAGTTGAAGGAACCAGAGCCTGCAACTGGGAGAGACTTGTGGAGCCAGAGAGGGAAAGTGCAGAAGCCAGTGTCTGGGCCCCGTCTGCCGCCGGGTAAGGAAGAGAAGTTGCTTCCCTACAAAGAAGGGGTGGGAGGTGGGCTGAAAGACCACCATCCTGGAAAAGGTGCCACACACACACACCAGCAGGACCAAGAACACAGAAAGAAGGTGGTGGTCACCGTAGCAACCATTTTGGCCGCACAGTGAAAGACGGAAAACAGGAGCGCTGCTCAGGGGTCCGCCCTGCCAGGCCTCAGCAGCCAGGCTCCGTTAAGCGGCAGAAAAGTCAGCCTTTGCGGGGAAACTGAGGAAGCAGACACGCTGGGCCGCACTTCTCTTTTCGTCCGTCCCCAGCGCCTTCCCAGCTTGCATTAGAATCCATCAAAGGCCCACAGGCAATTTTCATCCCCATCCCCAGCTTTCAAGGCCAGACCCCTCCCCACCCCTGCAAAGCCACCAGCCCTCTGCCTCGTGTTCCTGGAGGGTGCCCCCTCTAGCTCACTCACTCGTTCTCATGCCACAACTTACATTCATAAACTAGGGGGCAGGCAGGGCCCCATTTTGACTCCAGAGATTAAATACTCCAGAATGTCAGCGGGCTGTGTCCAAAGGCACGCAGAGCTTTCTGACGTGCAATGCAGTGTTTTTTCCAAACCTAGGCACTGATCTCTGTTTTTCATCTTCTTGGGTTCCCTCACTGCCCCTGATCCCCCCCCCCACACACACACACACAAACACACGCTGGGATGTAGAAGAGGTAAGAAGCTAGATCTAGCCTGTCTGCCTTGGCCTTTGCCCTCTCCTTGGCCGAGTGACATGCGCGCCCCGCTGGGCAAGGTCACACCAGCGGAGGAGGGTCTGGGCCTCCTCAGCCTTGGGCTGTGTCCTGCGGAGGCTGGAGTAGGGCTGCGAGAGTGAGAGCCAGCGTCCATCAGGTCAGGGGCCAAGGGAAGCCGAGTCTCAGCAACCCCAGAGCGGTGAACAAAGTTCAGTCCAAAACAGGGAGCACCAGGCATCTCTGGTTAAGCTGGCAGATCCATGAGAGCCCCAGAAGCATCAGAGAGTAGGGTGGATGGGCATGTGAACAGGAGGATTTCAAGGAAAGTGATGGCGCTGGGCTTGAGGGTCTTAGATGGGTCTCGTGAAGAGGGGCGGGAGAGACGAGGAGTCTGGGTTCAGCGCCGGTGCAGGGGACACGCGAGGCCTCAAGTCGGCTAGCCCGGCGTCGCGCCCAGAAGGGCATTGACTTGGCTGCGTATCGGGAGGCGCTAGGGCCTGGCGGACGAGCTGGCAAGGGGAGGGCGCACCCTCGGGAGGGCGGGCGGGGTCTGGCGGCGGCGGGAGCTGCGCCGCGCTGAGTAGCCTCCATCCATGGCACGGAGCGGCGGCGGCGGCGGCAGCAGGAGCCCGGCGCGATCCGTTAGGTCCCAGCCCAGCGCCGAAAGAGCAGGCGACGCGGAGGGTCCCGCCCTCCACCAGCTCCGGGGCACCGCGCAGAGGTTCCAGCAGCGCCGCCGAGGGCCGCCTGCTCTGCGCTGACAGCCGCGCCGGCGTCCTCCCCGCCGGGGCGCTCGCCGGACATGCCCCCGGGGTGCGGCGGCGGGGACCCCGGGGCTTGCCTCCGCCCAGGGCCCCCCGCCCCGCCCTCGGGCGCCCCGGGCCCCTGCTGAGCACGCCTCCCGCACGCCCGGGTCCCTTCGGCCCGTGCGCAGACGGGCCCCAGCGCTGTCGGTCCCCGCGGGGCTATGGGCTGATGGGCATCGGGGGACGCAGGATGCGGGGGGCGCCGGCGCGCCTGCTGCTGCCGCTGCTGCCGTGGCTTCTGCTCCTGGCGCGCGAGACCCGGGGCGCGCCCGGCTGCCCCGTCCCCATCCGCAGCTGCAAGTGCTCGGGGGAGCGGCCCAAGGGGCTAAGCGGCGGCGCCCCCAACCCGGCGCGCAGGAGGGTGGCGTGCGGCGGCGGGGAACTCCCGGAGCCTCCGGAGCCCAGCCTTCTGCCTAACGGCACCGTTACCCTGTGAGTACCCCCCTCGGCCGGCCCGGCCCGAGCCCGGACGAGGGGACGAATGGAGACAAGACGGAAGGGGCGGGAAGAGGGGGACTGGGACGGCGCCGCCACTTCAGAGACTTTGGGACGGGCCTGAGTCCAGGCGCCGAGAAGGAAGAACTAGGGGAGAGATTAGGGCTGCAGAGGTGTGGACGGAAGAGAGGGCTTCGGGAGGTGGGCACGACCCAGAGAGAGGCACTGCGGGCGCCCACTCACCTGTACAGGTGAAGGGGAATGCACGCTGGCGGGACCCCCACGCCCCTGGGGTTTCCAGCCTGGGCTGGTGTTGCGAATTTCGGGGACCTGAGGTGGGTGGGATGGGGAAAATCTCAGGAAAGATCGACGCCGCGGCCCACTCTGTGGCTCTGGTCGTTAGCACCGCGGACGCGTCTCCTCGGTCCGGACCGAGGAGTCTCCTGGGTTCCCCCAGCGGACCCGGCTCCTCCAGTGGGGGGCGCTCCGTTCGCTCCCGGCTTCCAGCCTGTCGGTCTACTAGGGCGGACGGGACGGTGGGCTCGGAAAAGTCTGCCCTTGGGGTGCAGGCGCTCCTGATCTGACTGAGACCCCGGCAACCGTTCCTCTGGGACCCCTCTCCCGCCGCGCGCATCTGGGTAGTGAGCGCTGCGCTGGGTCCTGCGTCCTTCCCTCTTCTTTCCCTCCCCTGGCTATGACAACAGCTTTGGCTGTTTCTCTACTAAATTCTGCTAAGAAAGAAACCTGGCCGAGTGGGAGGCGACTGCCTCCCAGCCTCCTTCCGTCATCTCGTTTCCCTTTCCAGCCAGGGCCTTACTAAGCCCTCACTTTGCTGGCGACCCAACCCCAAGCCTCCTCGATGGGGGTCTGAAGTTCCCGAAGCCGTAGGAGGTAACGACCCCTCCCCACCGCCGCGATTTCCTGCGCTGAGCATGTGCTTGGCACTCCACGCACGCCACGCGGTGAAGTGGAAGTTCGGGGCCTCGCGGCGGCCCTTTCCTTCCCTGTCTTTCTGATCCCCCTGCCCTGCCCTCCAGACCCCAGGGGCGGCCGTCTCCCCAACGCCCCTTGCCCGAGTTGGAGCTGGCTCACAGTCTACCCGATTGTGTCCAGAACAATACAGTAACGCCTCTGGTTGGGTGAGTTCAGAGGCTGTCCGCTTCCTGACAGGACAGGACTGGTCAGCCTCTGACGTGGGCCGCCTGGCCTGCATTTTCCCAGCTGGGGTGTGTGTGAGCATGTGTGCACGAGGGGAGTGAAGGCAGTATGTCTGCCTGCTCTCGCTTCCCGCAGGCTCAGGGATGTGGCCCTGGTCTGGGAAGGCAGCTGGGGCTGCTCATTCCAGTTCCTGCGGAGCGTCCGCTAGTGTTGAAGGGTCCAGACAGGCCCGACATTCCCCAGCCCACTCAGTTCTGGAGGAGAAAAATGCCGGCTGTGTGAGCGGCTGGGCAGGCGGCTGGGCCGTGACAGTTCCGGTCCGAGGGGGGCCTGTGTGTATGTACTGGATCTTGTGGCTGTGCTCGCCTACCTAGGAAGGTCGCTGTCTTTCTGTGCGTCTGTTTGTTGGGATTAGGAAACCCTAACATACTGAAGGCAGAAAGAATGGGGGAAACATGAAAAGATGGTTTAGCAGTACATCTTAGAATGATTTGGCAACTAATCCTTTCCAGCCAGGGCTAATTCCTGTCGACGCCACTCTAAGGAGAGGGTGGGACCCATACTGGGTGAGAATATATTCTAACGGGGTGGCAGCAAGCATGACTGCTTGCTCACCTTCCTGCTCCAAACCACCTCCATGGGAAGGACACCCTTTCATCCTAGGCCACGGATCTAGCTGGTTTAAGATCCCTTCCAAAGCAGCAGTCCCCTGAGCCTGGCTGAACAACCCCACAGGGACAGCAGGCAAGACAGGCCAGCGAAGTCCCTGAGCACCCCTTGGCTCATCGGCCTGGCGTGGGACTGAACCCCAGCTGCAGCCATATTTCTTAGGTTCTCCCCCACCCCCAACATAATCCTAATCCTGATTTCTGCCCTCCCACCCCACCCCCCACCATGCTGGCTCCTGAAGGAAAAAGAAGCCAAGTTCTTCTTCAGCAGAAGCCCAGCCAGGACTCTCTTCTCTGGGCTCAGTCCCTCCAGCGCCCCCCAAGCGTCCTGAGGGAAGAAGGAGGAGAGGCCTGGAAAGGGGCTGCTGCCTCAGCCTGGCAGCAGAGCGGGAGGCTGAGAGCATGGAAACCTCCTCCACGCGCTCCTGGACTCCTCCTCCTCGCTCTTTTTCTTTTTCCACACAAATTTCCCCTTTCACCTTTTTGCCTGTCACCTGGTACGAACAACAGGACTTGAGCCAACAGTTTTTGCAGTATCCTCCCTCCTCCCCTCCCCCTGCCTTCCTCCAGAAGGGGCCTCCAGATCCCAGGCCCCTTTGCACACCACCCTGCTGAAAGGTCCCCGGGTGCTGGGGACTCCTCCCCGGGAAATCTGGTGGGCACTGGGTGCTGGGACTGTTCAGGCAAAGAAAGTGCTAGACGAGGTGCTTGTCTGCAAGGAGCCTCTCTGCTCAGAGAAGGCCCCCGAGCAGTCCAGTGGCGTTTCTGTGAAGAGCCAGCCCTGTTTACCTCACGGAAAACCCTTCTACCTCCACCCTATTATCTCAACTTCTGCCTTCTGTTTTTGTAGACTGCATGCCCTCTCCCCACATGGATTTTCATTCGAGGTTTTCCAGGAAAGCAGAACTCTTGGCTTCCTTCCTGATCCATCTGTCCCACCCCACCCCACCCCCAGTGCCGAGGCCCAGGCCACAGGACAGCTGTGGGCACTTATGCGCCTGTCCTTTACGGGGGAAGGTCTCCTGGTGGGGCGGCTTATTACAGGGAGAACCTGGGTGTGGGAGGGAGAGGTAGACCACTGTGAGCCCCCCACCCACCCCGGGCGGCAGCTGATGGGCCTGCCCACTGGTTCTCAGCTCTGGCAGTTAGAGTGAGAGGGAGGGGGCATTATAAGGAATTCCAAGGAAGGGCTGATAGTCGATAAGTGCAGAAGGAAATCTCCTAGGAGGACCTCCCAGGACATCTGCGCAGCCCCTCGAAGGATACCAGCCAGTGTCACCAATTCCTAGACTGTTTGCGCTGAAAAGGGCCTTAGAGATCAGCGAGCCCAGCCCCTACTTCTACGTTTTACAGCTGAGCAAGCCGAGGCTGACAGGGCAGGTCCTGGCTACTGCTAATAGCCACCAGCGAGCTGACCCCAGCCTCGGGACGAGCTGGTTAGGTTCTCCTAGCGTTCCTCCCAGATCAGGGACTGCTCTTCACCTGGCTGGACTTGGGACCCAATAGACACAAAAGCTGCTTTAAAAAACCCTGTTCCTTCCCAGCAGGATCCAGGCCCTTTTGACCTGGGAACATTCCAAGGCTGGGCGGGGAGGGAGCCAGACATGGGACAGGTCACTCCAGATTCTCCCAGAGCCAACAAACCCTCATCCACTCAGTCTGGCGGTTGGGGGCAGGGGGGTTGCCCACCCCATGGGCTGTCCACATAGGAGAGAGGGGCATTTGCCACACAGATGTGCCTAGCCGTGGCTGGGTCCTTTTGCTGTGGGTTTGGTGGTCTTAAGAAGCACCATGGTGGGGAAGGACAGCCCCTTCACAGACGCCTGCTTCAGCTGCAGGGAAGTGGTTCTTGAGCACAGATCTCCCTCTGGACCTCCAGCTCTGGATGGAGCCCTCGGATGCGTGCCTCTCACCCCAGCCACCAGGATCCAGTGTGGGGAGTTTGGGGCAAAGTGTGCCAGCCGCCATGCACTTAGCCTGAGGGGAGTGGAATGATGCTGGCTGGAGGGGCGGGCCCACGCTGGCTTCCCCACCCCCTTCTCTTCCAGCCTCTTTCCCCCATATGGTTCTCATAAGGTCTGGGCTCAGAGACAGCAGCCAGAGGAAGTGGCTGTGTACAGAGAGCTTTTGTGAGGGGAGGAGGGGGGAGGGGGAGAGAGTGAAGAGAAAGAAGGAAAGAAAAGAGGGAAGAAGCAGAGGTGGGAGGAGGCCAGGACACTCCAACATACTCCCTTACCCTCCAGTTCTGCAAGGTCTCAGCAGCAATACCCCGTGTGGGGTCCAGAACCCCCCTGTCTAAAATGAGGGGCCCAGGGGGAGTCCAAGTCCCTCCCTGACTCTTCCCACCTACCTGCCAGAGGAGCTGGAGGCAGCCAGATGCTTCCAGGAGGTCTGGGGTCCCCTGTCCCTAGGGCCCCCTCCCTCTGATGCAGAATGTCAGGGTTCACGGTCCCATCACAGGGCAAGCTCTGCTCAGAGAACAGAGCCTTCTGGGGTTCGCTCGTTGACTCCTCGTGGCACCGAAGGGCCTGGATAGGCCATGGCACTGAGCTCCAAAGACAACACCTATAATTCAGCCCCACCCGTGGGTCCAGGACCCAGAGTGGGTTCTTTGGCCTGAGTTAGTCAGAACCCGAGCATGGAGCCAGCCACTCCTATCCCCAGGCAGCCCCTTCCTGCTGGCTCCTGGGGATCATCCCTTCGGATTGGGGGGTGGGGGGGCCGCAATCCATGGTCCTGGGGGTGAGTCTGAGAATTCTCCCCAAAGGCAGAGGCAAACCAGTGTAATTTGAACCTAACCAGAAATTGACCCTTAAATTTGGGGTCATGTTTTTAAAAGGAGAGAGTGATTCTAAGTTTAAGCCACATGGGAGCCATTGGGATAAGAACCCTTTCCTGAGGGAGAAAAAGTTCTAGCCACCTCTGTGTTTGATCCCTGGCCTTCCATTCAGCGGGCAGGCTTTCCTCACCAACGCCCAGACCCAACGCCACACTGCCTGGACCAGGGCCCCGCATTCCCCATCAGAGAGAGAGAGACAGAGAGACAGAGAGAGAGAGACAGAGAGCGCTTGCCCTGTGCCTCCCTGGGATCAGCCCGGGAGTGGGGAAGAGGGGAGGGAAATGGCCCTGGGCTGAGAAACCAGAAGGAAAATCCGGTATCTGCGAGGAAGG